AGCACCCCACCATGGACACCCACACCCGGCAGCGGGGACAGAGGCTGTGCACAGGCCCACGCCAGACACCGGTGCTGAACCCGGAGGCAGCACCATCCCTCAGTAAGACCAAGAGGCTATGCTGGCCAGGAATCATCTTGACTGCAAGCACACCGAGGCTGGGGCAGGATCTTCTTCTCTACCTGCGGGGCTGTGGCCAGCACGACTGCCCAAAGAGTTACAGAGCTCATGCTCCGCTCTGTAAGACACACGATGGACCAAATGACCCACTTGTCCTTTGTCATAATTCCCCAGAAGCTGCTGGCCTGGCAGGGCAGCAGGGCAGTCTTTGAAAGCTTCTGGGGAGGCCTTATTTTGAGAATGCTGGGAATACGGGGGATGCTTCAGTATGCCGTCTATACAAAGTAAAACAGATCAAAGCCACTATGGCGCTACATCCTCAGTGCACAGAATATGTCGCTCTGGGACGCACGGATGAGCACAGAAGTGATCATGTTTACTGATGTCACTTTTAATGACCCAGTGGGAGACCTTGTGCTTTCCACCTACACTACCCTGGGCACTGTGTCTGGAAGACCATCCCCTGGGGGGAGTGCTTCTACCATGGGGCGCAAGATGAGCCCCACTGATCTTCCTGCAGTCACTCCAGCTCCTCATACCAAGACATCACTCATATCAGGATGCACCCTTCTGAGCTGGCTGGGCTGGAATGCGTTTGTCATCCAGGTGGCCCAACAGGGCATCCCTTGGTATTCCCTACTCTCCTGGCCATTCATTAATGAACAGGCACTCAGCTTTGCATGAACCACAGAACACTGGGGCCAAGAAGGATGTGGTGATCAGGGGGCCTGTCTGAGCTGGATGACAGGGTCACCTCACCAGGCAGGCTAGCCGACCAGCAAAGGTGTCAGAAGACAGGGAGGAGAATCTCGGGTGAAGTGGGTGGGGGTGAGAGGGAGAGGAGAAGTATCAGCCGAAGCTGGTAAGGGGTGAGTGGTGGGAAGGGTGCACTCCATCAGAACCAAGATTGTCAGTCCTCAGCTGCAGAGGTGACAGCTGATGGCACGAATGGCCTTGGGCAGCACGGAGCTGGCCACCCAGGGCCACATCCATGGGACGTGTGTTCAGTCAGTGCAAGGTGCAAGAGGCCAGCCCATCCCGGGGTTTCGGGACCGCTCTGAAGGGCCACCCCAGCTCTGTCACAGCTGAGCTGCTCCCCACCATCTCCCCCTCCGGCTGCCTCTGCTTGCCTGGTGGTGTTTATGGACGGTGTGCTCAGTACACATCTCCACGCACATCCTCAGGACACAGCCTGTTTCTTAGAGAAGCTGTTTATGCAACTGCTGCTGGGAAACTGGAATTTTAAAAAAATGATCAGGCACCCTGATGGATTTTTCAATTGGACATTGTGAGCTTTACCTAAAGTCAGGTTCACTAGAAGCAGAACCCAGGGAAGACTCTGGTTCAGTTCACTTACTAAGGAAACGGCCCGAAGAGGAGTGTCAGGCAGAGCAGAGTAGGCTGGGGCGGGCGAGGGCCTGAGGCAAAGTGGCTGATGCCCTGGGCAGTTGCCAGAGAGATGTAGGATGGTAGGAGGTGGTTAGTAGCAGTCACCCTACGAGCTCTTTGGGGACACCAGCATGTATCACAGTGCCATTTTTCCTGCACAGATATGGTCCTTACGTTTGACATAATTCACAGAGGAAGACAGAGTTTAGAATAATCTTAAATTAAAATTACACTTGAAAGCTGTGTTTAACCAAACAGAGAATACACTGTTATCTGTTTTGTCAAGGCTTTTCTAAATTTTGATTTTTATCAGTACACGTTTGCAGTGTACAATGATTACGTTAATGGTGGGGAGTTGGCACATGTGCGTAACGCATCCCGATTCTTTCTTAAATCCCCTTCTTCTCCTGCTCCATCTTTTGGTCCCCTGCCTTCTTTTGCTTTTTATAGGAAGCTAAAATTTTAAGGAAAACATCAGCCATAAACCACCCTCCAAAAAAACTCTATCTGACTACTCCCTGAAGTGTAGCATTTAACTAAATTCTAACTCTGAAAGATACCCACACAAAATTAAGGGAGAAATCCAAGAAAAGAAACTTATTTGAATGTACCAAGTAAGCTGAGCTTCTTTTTAGTTGCAAGAGTTTAAAGGAAAGATTTAAAGCGAAAAGAAATTCTTGAGGTAAACATAATTAAGGTTCTTATCATATGTGCATATGCAATTTTCTGACAGCTCATTTAAAAAGTTTCAGGAAAAGAAAAGTTGCAGAGAGCTTCAGGACCACAATTCAGCTCCAGCTTTATAGCCCCCTTTTCTGTGAAATTGGAAGGGGATGATTTAAAGTGACTTTCAAAGGGTCCAAGATACACACTCTCAAAGGTATTCCATTGAGGGACAGCACACGTCCGTGTTTCATCAAAATTAACATTTTAGAATATTTTACATACAGTGTTCATGAAGATCTAAAAGATGAATGAAAGGAAAAGGTTCATGGGAAATCTGAACAGTCATTTGATGTTTTTTTCTCTCCCAAACCCCACATTAGAAGTGCTCAGGCAGCTGCTGAGAATGTCGGGGAAGTTTCTAGCTGCACCCTGGAATGCACACCCACTGTCCTCTGTGGCCATCCCTGCCGGGAGAGCACTCTCTGCTGCCACAGAGAAAGTCTCAGCCCGAGTCTCCTGCCTGTTCATGGCCTCTCCCCTGAAATGCAGACTCGAAGTCCGGCCCATTCGGTCTTTCTCTTGAGACTCTGCACTCAGTTCCCTGTGGTGAGGGTCGGGATAAGAGGCTATGAGTCTTCTGGTTATTGATGATGATCTGGATTGAAGCTGCTATATACTAGAGAGACAGAAACTTTTTAAAGTGCCTTAAATAGATTTAATTCCTTCCTCCTTTTACAAATAGGGAAACAGGCATACAGTGATTAAATAATCCATACAAGATCATACTGCTGAAATGCGACAGACTCCACAATGTCAACTTTTTATCACTGCCTCTTTCCTACTAAAATTTTCTAAGATGCTTCCCAAGTAAGAAGGAGTATTTAAAATAAAGTTGAAATAGTCCCAAAGTGAAGCTAGGCTTTGAAATTCCCTTCGTTTCCTCTCCTACTGCCTCTAATCCATAATGACTCGGGTGATCCATCCACAGGATAAATGGGACTGCACAGCTCTTCTGCCGTAAATGTGCCAAAGCTCCCTACTGCTCTGAGTGGAGGCGAGCCCTCCTCTCTCTCCAGCTTTGTGTCTCCTTGGTGACATGTCACACACTCGGCATCCTGAGGTTCCATAAACTCTGGCATTTTGAAGGACTCTGAGAGAAGCCTGGAGATCCTTGCAAAGCCACACATTACTAAATACTCTTGTGTTAATTTTCGCACACAATTCTCTACAGAATGACAAAAGAATTAGACACGAAGATGAAATCTGTAAGGGCCAGTATACTGGAGGGTGTGGATTCTACAGCATTCATCAGAACGTTGTAGAACTGTCTGCTGCTGCAGAAGATGGTGAGTCAGACAGATGCTAATGAGACCAGGAGGGAAGGAGAGAAAGAAACGAACATGTGGCGAGGGCCAGGCAGTTCTGAAGGGAACAAGGAGGAGGCAGAGCCCTCCCCAGGGCCCTGCGGGCTGTCCCTTCCCAGTAGGACATCACAGCAGTGGTAGGTGTGGCCAAGAGCAGCAAGGGCCTCTAGGGGGTGGGGCAGGAAGAAGGGAGAATCGCCGCCTTCACAAGGTAGACAGCTCTGAGAAACCCGGGTACCACTCGTGATTTACAGTTAGCGCCTACTTTTCCCATGCTATTTAATAGCAATTTAGTGGAATGACTAAAAAGTATAATTTTATGGAACAATTTTATTTTCAATACTTTAACTGCAAGCTTGGCAGGTATCCTTTGGAAACTCAAATTTGTTAGTCTTTGGAATTGAATATCTGACTACACCAAATACTGCTTTTTGTTTTGTTTTTGAAAGAAAATCTCAAATAAATTCTAGAACCTATAAAAGTAACCTTGATGTGAACCACTAGTTTTGAGATTTTTTAAGTGTGCCTCTCTGTACCAAGCTATAAAAATACTTCCAAGAAAAGAGGCAAGAAGTTCCTGTAGTAAATGTAGTACATAGTTCATTATGCGCTTGCCAGTTGCTCCACCATCCAGGAAATCTTTCAGCCAGTTGAGTTATGTTTTCCTTTGTTATCTGTCTTTTTTCTTTTCAAAAAACATTTGTTTTCCACTTATCACACATTAACTTTGGAAATAGAAGGAACCCCACAGTTTTACCAAGCAAAAGCATTATCACATCTGTACTTTTACACCACTTAAGTTTACTTTTTTATATGATTTTGAGTGCCATTTAATTTTATCCCAGATTTTAGGAGGAAACATGCTTCCTTTTTTAGTCCTTTTAGTTCAAGAATAGTGATGGAGTAAGGTGGCTACTCTACTTATTCCAATGCAGCGCATAAGCTGCTTGACCTTGTCACTCATTTTAGCCTGTTTTCATTTACATTAGTCTATTTCTTAATGTCTCTAACAAAACCATCAATAGAATCTAAGGCAAGTGTAATTCTATCACAAAAGTTTAAGGATAGATTACATTTTGTCTAGGTTTAATTACAGTGTACAGTTTAAGGCTGGATAATATTGCAATGCTATTGCTGCATTCTAAAAATTAAGTGTTAGAAATATATGATCATGCTAAAGATAAAGAGCATATTATTAGTCAGAGTAATTTACACAGCTGAAATGAGGAGCTAACTGATTTTGTTAATAATTAAAATAAAATTATTTTGAGGTAATTTATTCAGCATCATTTTAAATTTATGAACTAGAATTAGTATGTCACCTCTGAAGAAAAATATCAAGAAACTTAATGACTATTTGGTTGCTGAGTTACACATTTAATTATATAAAATTTAAAGTTTCTTCTAATTGTAAAATTTTATATAATTTATACATTTTGAAATTTAAAACCGATCGCTTACCTTAGGAAGTTTGCAAAGCACACTGGTGAATTAACCACAGCTGGCCGGGTTTCAAAAGGGTTCAGAGAAAGCTTCAGAAAAAACTTTCAGAAGACGTAAAGTTGTCCATTACTTAGGATGCGAATGGAGGGTCTCAGCTGCCCAGCTATGCCTGCAGGAAGGTGCCCGCGTGTCTGGCTCGCTCTCGGGTTTCATCTCTGGTATTAGCAACAGGCATGTCTAATTTTACTCCGTGACATAAACAGCCCAGAGCACACTTAAAATTGCTAGGGAGCCGATGGCAGCGTGCAGCTCGCAGTGTGCCCACACCAGGCCAAAACAAAACAACACAAAGCCCAGCCGTTCTTACAAAACCCACATTCTGATATTCGAACTCTGAATCATGATGGTCTTCTATAAATAGGGCTTTCTAAAACAAGCTTTGCCTTAAACGAATAGGAAGACACTTCTGAGACTAGTTTCTGGTAGAACCTCACGTTGATCAAGTCTTATGAACAATCACGTGGAACTGACATGTGACCCTTAGAACTTACAACTTGGTTAGTATTATATATATACTATTCTCATCCAAATATTAAATTCTCACACACATGATTGTAAGTTACTCTGAAAACTCACATTCCTTAAGCCTCTTTTCAAGTGAAAAACTTTAAGATTTAAGGAATAAAACCTCAGAAAATGATTGTGATAATAAACAGAAGGCAAACAAACCCTGTATGTTAAAATTATGACAGTTCTTTTTTGGTAAACTAATATTTATCTTTAACAAAGTATATGAATGTAACTATGTGATCTTAAATTGCCTTTATTTTAAAGTCTTCCATTTTTAAGATATAAAGAAAATAAAGCAAAATCTTGAATAATCTTAGTCTTTTATTTTGAGTTATTTTTATATAGCCTGGTTTTCAGTATGAATAAAAAGTGACTAAAATGATTATTTGAAATTTATATTTAAGGACTAAACCTTGAATATCAGACATAAAGGCATGATAATCCACATGCTTAATTTTTATTTTATTTTCTTCTCAGGAGACAGTTTTTCTTCTTTTTGTTTATTCATACTCTGACTTCTTTTGAAATTTGATGCTTCCATCACAGCAACAGCTGCAGGCCTGAATTAAAAGCTTACCGAGCTTCAACGAGCACCATGTATAAGACGTTCTAAAATCTCTCATGAATTCTCTGCACATTACTATTTCTTTTCCATGGCACTTCAGTCAGACATAAAATTATAGCATAACTATCAATTCTTAACAAAATATCTACCTAACTTATTTGAGAAAAATGGTCTAAAACCTACTTTTCTAAGTATGTGTCTGAAAGTGAAAATATGAAACTCTTAACTCAATATTGTGATTTAAATGCCACACTTCTCAAGGTTTTTTGAAGGTCCTTTTCATCAATCAGTAAAGTGAATTTCTAGCAAAGAACTTTTTGGGCAGCTCCCGGGCACTGAGTGGGCAGCCGGGTCTCGCCTGGTACCTGGTGCGGACCATCACGCGATCCTTGTAGCTCCAGGTGGGCCGCTAGAGGTGCAACGCCCAGATGCTGAGCACGAAGAGCCCCGGGAAGAAGCGAGAGCCCCTGGCTACCGCTGCGATCTTTTTAGATGAAGACAGCCTTTAACACCTTCATACATGTTAGAAATGGAAGATTCAGCCAACATTAAGGTAGCAAAATGTCAGGGAAAAAAGCCTGAAATTGCATTTACTTAGAGCAACATGCTTAGCTCCCAAATTCACAGCTAACATACTTGGTGAAATGGAAATGATACTTCAGTTTTGTACCAAGGAAAATGCTTCTACAAGAAAAACAATTGAGATTTACACACAAATATCTTCATATTGAGTTCCAGAATTGAAAGACAAGATTGAGGCCTTCATCCATTCCTCTGCTTCAGGAAATGAAGCCCTCTTCTGGAATGACAGCTATTTTGCTTAGGACCACATTTCCTTTCTGCATAAGAGACAGATGAAACAGAGATGGAACAGAAAAGAGGACAGGAGAGGATGACATGATAGGAAGAGAAATGGACAGAAAGATGCAGCTCAAGAACAACTTCCATCTGAAAGAGACCAAGGTAGATTCAGATACAGAAAATGAAAGGGCAAAGATCTACCCTTAGTCACAGGAAAGTGGACACAGATCCTGCGTGGCAGTCACAACAGCTGTAACAGGAGGAAAAGGATGAAACACACAGGGAAAGATGGAACGAGACCTACAAAGAGAAAGAAAGAGAGTCTTTTATGGAACACTATTCCCTTTTGGCTAGCCCCAAGAAAAGCCATATTACATGTGAAGAAACGGTACAGCCAGGCATAGTGGTGTATGCTTGTAATCCTGGCTACTCAGGAGGCTGAAGCAGGAGGATCACAAGTTCACCCAGTCATGGTGGCACATGCCTATAATCCTAGCACTTGGGGGACTAAGGCAGGAGGATTAGTACAAATTGAAAGCCAGCCTGAGCTACATAATGAGGCCCTGTCTCAAAACCACAAAACAAACAGAAGGAAACACTTAAGTTTGAGGCTAGCCTGGGTAATTTAGTGAGATTGTCACAACAGTTTCCATTACCACATTAAAAGGGTTGATGGTGGCACACATCTGTAACCCTGACACTCTGGAGCCTGAGACAAGAGGTTTGCCTCAAATTTGATGCCATCCTGTGGTATATAAGTGAGTTCAAGCCCAGCCTGAACTCCATAGTGATACCCTGTCTCAAAAAACTAACCAACCAAATTACTTATATACATCTGCCTCACAGCATGGCTGGGAGAACTAGGTGAGATAATATTTCCAAAAACTCATGTTATGCTTGGGGTAGTGGCACATGCCTGTAATCATAGCATTTGGGAGGCTGAGGCAGGAGGGTCAGTGTGAGTTTGAGGCCAGTCTGGGTTACATAGCTCAAGGCCAGCCTGAACTGCATAGCGAGACCCTATTCTAAAAAGAAAAAAATTGGGCCAGGAAGATGGTACAGCGGCACAGCAACTGCCTGGCAAGCACAAGGTCCTGAGTTCCATTTCTGGTACAAAAAAAAGTTAAACTACAGGCTGGACATCAACAATCAATTACTATTCTTTATCTTGGGATTCTTGCAGTGCAGTTCTCTGCTGTTAAAACTTCTTAGTAGCATCTATTAGACTGACGAAACCCTAGACTGTAGCTTCCTCAGTTTTATCTGGGACAGTTTGCAAAAGCAAACTATGAGTGTGCGAAGCACAGTCACACTCTAAGCACATGGCTTCTGTAAACAGTGACTGCAGCTGCACACCACGGGAAAGTCTTTGCTTTTGTACACAGTGATAATGATCCATGTCAAAAAAACCCGTAATTTACACACATATGCACAGACACACACACACACACACACACACACACACACACACACACACACAGAACTTATCAATGCTCTGGGGGTTGCTTTATAAAAATATTACTCAAATTAATGTGAGATTTCCACTCACATTTACAGAATCATTGAATATTATGAATGTTTACTACAAAAGAACGACTTAAAGAGACCTTTGACTTCATAGAATTTTTGAAATTTTTATTACACCTTCAAAATTTTTACTGTAGGTCTAGTTTAAAACACATCTGGTGTGTTTTTCAATAAAATCACAACATTTCAAAGCTTAAAGGAAACCTAGTCTTACACTCACCTAGGTGTAAAACAATGTGTTCAAACATACCTAGATAATGTGTCCCCTCTCTCATCTGTGTCCAACTGAGACCTTGGTTGCAGACCTCCCTTCTGTGGCCTCACCTCACTTCTCTTCTTAGCTGTCTCTTTCTGCAAGGTTCAAGTGACCTTGAAAGTCTCTTGATTTCACATGCCCACCTGGTAATTGGGTGTTCACCATCAATGTCTCTCAAGCATGGCTGCCATGCCTCTGGAGTTCACAGTAGGATTCATCTTCATTCTTACTCTGCCTCTATTATGGTTAGATCTACCGTGTCCCTCTAAAGTCTTTGGAAGAAGACTGGATCACGTGGATGTTATACTCACCAGCAGAGTCATCCACTGATGGTTTCACAGTAGAATATGTTGTTAGAAGGTGGTCTCTGGGGGTGTGACCTGGATGGGTTTGTTCTTTTCCCAGGCTCCTACCTCTTTTCATTCTTTGATTTCTGGTCACCTTGCATTGGGCCACTTTCTTCTGCCATGCCTTTTCAGCCACGCTGTTTCTGGCTTGAGGCTAGCCAACCATGCCCCAGTGAAGCCATGAGCCAAAATAAACCTCTCTTCTTTTTAGTTATAGGTCTCATGCGTTTTGTCCCAGTGATGGGAAAGTGACTAATACAGCCTACGTTCTTGCTTGCTGTGTATATGCATGAGCTAGCTCTGGACCTGCCTCTTGATCTCTCTCATTCATGTCTCCCATCTGCCTGCTTATGGATGTCCTTGTTGTTGGCTATATAGCTTAAGAGGTTGGGACTGGGGAGATTATACACAAAGCTAGTGAAAATAGGTAATTTTTGGTAGTGATGTGGTCAATATCAGACTAATCCATTTTACTTTTCATATGAAATTGGAGGTACAGTCATCTGTGGAGTGTGGGGCAGAGGATGAGATGGTCCAAAGCTTGAAATTTAAAGTAGATGTTTAAAATAGTTTCTGTGAAGAGCTGGGTTATAAATTCACCAGTGAGAGGTTGAGAAAAATGGCAGAATGCTGAGTGCCAGCAATGCAGCTCTTCCAGAACAGTGCCCAGGGTCTGGAAAATAACAGCTCAGAGAGAATCCAGAGGGATTTCAGGGCTCATGGGAACCACAAGAGAACTGACAGTGGACAAGAAGAAAATAGGATCCATTGCCACAGAAGAAATAGCTCACTGCTGCAGACTCAAGACCACATGGTACAGAGAGAACAGTTGTGTAGCTGACCTGGTGGGCTGGGAAACAAAGCAACTTTTCTCCTGACTGGGGGACTGAGACCCAACCTGGACCAGGAGAGTCTTGTACAGTCAGAGGCAGCAGGGAGAACATGAGACACTGTTTTTCAAGCTCCCCAGCCCCACAGAGTCAGTGGTTGGTGAGTGAATTTGAGTGGTCCTGGCACACAGTAGCACAGAGGAGCAGCAGTGGGTGAGTGGGGTTACCATTTTATTTCAAAGGGCTTGGGGCTCAAACTCCAGCAGCAGAACAGCCCCAGGATAGTTTCACTGCAAGTGTCCCAGAGAGGAATGAGGGAAGGGTCATCCAGTCACAGTAGGCACCTGGCTATTAGACAGAAGACTAGGAGGGACTCTGCTGAGAAGTAGGAGCTGGGACCATCCAGACTCCCTTTTGGTG